GGAAGGACAGAAGGGAAGAAGGGAGGGAGGGAGGGAAGCAGGCAGACTCCTCCCTGAGCCTCTCCCTGGTTCCTGTTACCTACCTGAGCACACGCCCAGTACTCTCCCTTCCCTGGAAGAGGACATCTGCTCCTGGGCATTATGGGATCCTTCCCTGGGCTCACTTTGGGGGGCCATCTCTGGCTGTCCCACAGAGAATCCTGTTACAGGCAGAAGGATGGGTCCAAGTAAAGCATCCAGTACAGAACAAGTAATCAGAGGCGGGGGCTCTTCCCCTTCCCAGCCTGCCCAAGAGGCTTTTCCCAACCTGCTCAGGAAGGACAGGCACTCTCACCAGCATGGACACAGACAGGTATCAAGCTCAGTCCTTTTGAGTAGAGTCAAAAAGGACAGAAGGAAGAGATAGCACAGATGTAAATATCACTGTGCTCTGTGAGTGCGGGAGTGTGCATATGTTCTAGAGCGCAGCCTCCACCGTGTCCCAGGCATTAAGAACCCATGCTACAGAAAAGGAGGCTGCCCGACGGCCCCTGGGGCCTCAGGGTTGCAGCCTCCTGAGGGTGGCTCTGCTGTATGAGTCGTAGATGCCCCTGAATCCTCCTAAGCCCTTCCTCAAGTCCCTTCATTTCTGCTAGCTCACCCAGAGAGCTGAGGGCCTCCAAGGTCTCCCTCATGGCAACCCAGAGTAGCACCTCCTGGGATCAGGCCACAGACCCTATGGAGAAAAGACAGCCATGTTCAGATTTTTCCCATGCCAGCTTCCACCTGAGGCCTGCCTCTGCCCAACCTCTCCCTGTGGACTCTGCCCAGGAGCTCCAAAAGGGATATCTCTAGGTACAGGTGGGGGAAATTAGGGAAAATGGATTTCAGAAAACCAAGGTCTTTCAAGGTGGCCCCAGAAGGCCTTGAAGCCATTTCTGCCAGCTCTGTTCAGCTCTGGAAACCAGCCGCCGCCGCACCACCCCTCACCTGGCAGGTCTCTCAGCGCCAGCCCCAGCCCATCAGCACCCCAACTACATACCCCAGTGTCCTTGCCTGGGGAAGTGCAGAAGCATTTGATTCTTTAGGGAGAGGCTGCAGGGTGAGGGCCCAGGGTGGGGAGTGGGAAACTTCATCTCTTAGGCCCTCCAGCTGTCACTGCCCAAGCTGGTGAAACAGGAGCCAGCCCAGGGGCGGAGGTGAGTGTCACTTTAGGGCCACTGCTAGGGGAGGTCCTCGAGAGGAGATTCTTGTAGGGAGAAAATGACCGCCTCTACCTAAACCCCTACCGCAACACCACCGCTTATCCGCGAGGGGCTGCCCCAGGCCCAGACACCGCCCGGGCTGCCCCTTCCCTGCTCCTCCTCCCTCGGCTCCTCCGCCCCTCCCCCAGCAGGCTCCCCTCCCCCATCTCCCCGGCTGCCTTCCCTCTGCCCCGCCCCTCCCGCTCCCTCTGCCTTCCGCCCTCTCTCCCCGCGAATCGGGCCGCCGCCCCGGCCCCGCCCCCGGCCCTCCGGCTCCGCCCGCCCGCGCCCGGCAGGGCCAACCCCTCGAGGCCCCCTCGGGGTCGGCCCTCCTCTGCCACCGCCTCCCCGACCCTCCGCTCCCGGCCGTCTCGGCGGCAGAGCTCCCCTCCCCCTCCCAGACTCCGGGCTGCCTTTCCCTGCCCTCCCGGTTCTCCCCCGCTCCATCTCCCTCCCCGGCTGCACACCCTCTCCCTTCCTTTCCCCCTCCTCTTTTCCTTCCTCCCCAACACCCGCCCTCCTCCTTTCAGCTCTTCTCCCCAACCCCGTTCTCCTTTCCCCTCCCCTCCCCTCCCTCCTCTCCTCCCCCACCCCGGTTTCCCTTCCTTCTCCTTCCCTCGCCTCACCTCGGTTCCCTTCCCCTCCCCCTTTCTAGCCCTACACCCTCCCCGTCTCCCCGCCGCTCTCCCCCTCCCTCCCTCCCTTCTGCAGCTCTCCTTCCCCTCCGAGGCCCCCGCCTCCCTTCCCCCTCTGTCTCCCCAGCAGTCTCCGGCTTCGCTTCCCTCCCCGTCCCCAGTCCCCAGAACCGCTCTTCCCCTCCCCCTCCCGGGCCGCTCCCCAGCTCCCGGGTCCTCCGGCCTCCAAGCCTGGGGGTCTAGGACTGACCCGCTCGCTCTGGACCTTCCCGCGGGTCCTGTCCTTCCCACCCCGCCTCCCCTCGGAACACCCCTCCGCGCCTCTCCCCTCCCCTGGAGCGCCCCTTCCCCATGCCTGCTCCCCTCGGACTTCTCCTCACCCCTCCCAAGTTTTCCTCCAGACCGGACCCTCAGTTCCACCTCCCTGCCCCGCCGTCCTCCCGAGCAGCTCCGATCGCCGACGTCACTCCGGGTCCCGGCCTCCTCCCCGGCTCCGGGGCTCACCTGTCAGCGCCCTCCTCTCCCTCCCCTCCCTAGCGGCCCGGTCCCCAGCGCCCGCTTCTTCCTCCCCTTCCCCCTCGGCCCCCTCCCACACTCCCTCTCCCCTCCCCACGGGGCCCGCCCGCCCCTTCCCACCTGCCTCCCGCCCGGCCCCCTCCCAGTCGCCGCCTGGGCGACTTCCAGTCCCCACACCCGGTCCCCTCGACCCCCACAGCCTCACCCCGCCCGCGCCGGGCTTGCCCTCCCTCCGGCCAGACCCCGAGCTCCCCCGACCATGCCCCTCCCCCACGCCGGCCGTTCGCGCCCCCACCCCCGGCGCTGTCACCTGCGCGGAGCCCGCCGCGACCCGAGCGCTGCGCGGAGGGAGACGCGGGCGGGGCCGCCTGCAGCGGAGCCTCCCCGGCCCTTACCTGGCGGGCCGGCCGCTCCGCCCGCGCCGCGGGGACCCAGGCGCCCGGGCCTCCGGCCCCGCCGGCTCTGCTCACAATGGCGCCCGCCGCCTGCGCTCGGGTGCTGACGGCCCGAAAGACTGACAGACTGACAGCCCCGAAACTTCGCGGGGAGGAGAGGGATAGACGCGCGGGGAGCGGGAGCCGGGAAGCCGCGCCCGTGAGGGAGGAGGGACCGAGGAGCGGGAGGGGAGCCCCGGCGCACCGGGCTGGGGGAGACAGGGACAGGAGGCTTCAGGAGTGGGGCCCCGGGAGGGAGCACGGCAGGCTTAGGTGGGCAGGTGATGGTCCTGAGGCCCCTTCTCCGGAGTAGGTGCTGGAGTGGGAGCTCGGGACCGGGGAGGGGAGGGGAGGGTGATGGGAGAGCGGGTGGAGGAGGGCGAGGAAGCTGGGGAGGAAGGGCACTCGGGCTGCGGGGAAGGGTGCCGAGGGAGGGTGCTTGCGGCCGCGGAGGGAGGAGCCGGGGAAAGGTGGAGCGCGAGCGGGTGGGGGGGCGAGGAGGAGTTGGGGGGACGAGGAGGGGGCGTGTCGGGGGAGCCAGAGAGTCGTGCGCTGCGGTTTCTAACTCGCCGGTGCTAGCCGGGTGTGCAGCGCCGCACTCCCGCGGGAGGACGGCCCCGGGGGGGTGGTGGTCGGTAGGGGAAGCTCCAGTCCCGCCCCCGTTCTCCACCCGGATTCCACCCGAATCCACCCGGATCCACCCAGACCCACAGCCCCTCGCCCGGAGTCCCGAGGACCCGCTTCGAAACCAGCCGCGGGAGCCGCTGGGGGAGACGGGGGAGAGGGCTGTGCCCGTGCCTGCGAGAACCGGCCCTTCGAAGTAGAAACTGGGGAGAGGACTTTGAGCCGGGTCCCCTGGGAGAAGGCCGGGCCGGGTCTGGAGCTCCGGGGGGCGAGGCTGGGACGGGGCTGGGCGGAGACTCTGAGGGCAGGGTCCGGGGAGGGTCTGCGTGGAGGCTGCAGAGAGGGGAGGGCTCTTTGGGCGGGAGACGCTGGCGGGGAGGAGGCCCTGCTGGCCCGGACACCACCTGGAGTTAGATGTGTAGGGCAGCCGTGAGCCCCAGCGCCAGCTCCTCAGGGAACTGCCCTCGCCGTCCCAGCCTGGGTTACGACGTGTCTCCTCGGCCTTGTCCCCGCTGCACCCCGCTCCTGAAAGCTCCACAGATGCTGAAGTCTGGACTGTTAGTCCCGGTCTCCTCTCCCTGAGCTTTCTCCATACTCCCCTGGGTTCCAGCTTACTCCCTCCTGCCCCTTTAGGGGAAAGGGTGACTGCGACTCGGGTCGCTTCCCAATCCAAGTGCTGGCGGATCAGCCTCAGTTTGAATCCGGAGCTGAGAATGAGGCTCGAAAGGGGAGTGGGTGCATGGCCATTGAGCTTCTGCCACCGCAGCCCACCACAGGGGTGAGTCCCTGGAAGAGTACCCCATCCCTAGGCTCAGCTGTGAAGGCTCCTCTGCCTGCAGGCTGAAGGGAGCCCCTGGAGCGGCTTGTGTCACTGTTCGTGCTGGGGTGTGGCCAAGCACCTGTGTCGGTGCTGTGAGACTTAAAGCGAGAGTGTGCGTGTGTGTAAACAGGAAAGGGGGTGTCTGGGTGTGAGTGTGGCCCTTGCTGAGGACTCCAGAGGGGGTTTGATCCCAGCCATCCGTGACCGACCGCCTGAGAGACTCACTCTGGACCCTTTTTTGGTCCCAGGATCAGTGTGAACCCGGGAGATGGAGAGCCCAGCCCAGCTTTGGTCCTCAGTATTCCCCTTCCTCCCCCAGGTGGAACGGCTCTATAGGATGCTCGGAGGGATACCAGGTTTAGGAGACGGAGGGACGTGGAATCCGAGGTCTAGGCCGCATTCCAGCGCGGGTGTCCGGGTGTGCCCGGAGCTCTGCTGGAACCCGGATGGACCCCGGATTCCCCCGTGGAGCCTGTCACTGCCACTCCCAGCCTGACTCTCGGATTATTTCATCCGGCTTAGCTCTGGCCCAGGGCTGGGGGGGCTGGCTCCCCCGCCCTGTCTTTCCAGAGGTTCCTGTCATTCCTCAGCACAGGCTTCCCAGTTCTAGACCCCAAAGACTCTAGAAGTCCCTCGAAGAAGGAGACAGGGTGGGCCCAACCAGCCACGCATAATCATCCCCAGCAAGAATCTGGACCCTGGAGAAAAGGGTACATGTTGCCCCCCCATATCAAAGACTCAGGAACCCCAGCTACCCTGGAAAGGCTCCCGCTTACTGGCCCTCACTCTTAAGTTTGGGCAAGAGAGGGGTGGGAGGGAGGGGAGCACCATCCAGACAGAAGTTCAAGGCTGGAAGACCCCATCAGTCATTTAGCCCAGGAGCTCTTAACCTTTTCATGGGGTCATGGCCCTCTTGAGAATCTAATAATAAAACTTACAGAACTGTCTTCAGAAAAATGTGCACATACAATTTCAAAGAATGACTGGAGTCTGAGTCCCATCTGTGCATTCCTGGGAAGTCCCTGAAATTTTTACTGGGAAGGAAATTGGGGCCCAGAAAGGGAGGGTGGCTTGCCCAGAGCCCCTTGTTAATTTGTGGTAGTGCTGGAGAATGTGAAAATACACACACACACACACACACACACACAGAGAGAGAGAGAGAGAGAGAGAGAGAGAGAGAGAAACAGACACCCTGGGAGGGGGTGGGAAGTGGGAAGGAGACTGTTTCCAGGGAGAGCTGGCCTCTGAGAGCTGGTGTGGCAGGTCCAATCCAGTTGTGGGCAGCTGGTGCCCTGGAGCATGAGGCTAGAATAAAGCCTCCCCAGCCCTCAGGACTGGCCACTGGGCTTCGGGGAGGCTGCATGGGGCAGGAGAGAGCGGCACTGGCCTTTCCGTGCCCTCTGCAGCGTCGCCTCTCTCAAGCCCAAGCCTCACGTTCCCCAAATGTGCTCCAGGGGTGAGGGCACCATGGTGCTCCTTGCCCTCCTCTTTGGGATGGCGTTGGCCCTGGCTGATGGGTAAGCAGCCCACCTTGGACCCCTCTGACAGGAAGAGTCCTCTTCCTGCCCCTTGCCCAGGGACCCCCTGGGGCATGACTTCGTGCCCCCACCCCCGGGGTCCTCCCTGCACCCCCACCACTTCCCATGAGTGTTTCTCCCTACCTCAGCATCATCCTTACTTCAGTAACCACCCCTGGGAGTGGGGTCATAGGACAGGGCTTTTAGTGACAGAGGGAATGGTGACAGCAGCGGTGGTTCCCCATCATGGGCAGGCGGTGGTGTGAGTGGACGGAGAGCATCCGTGTGGAGGAGGAAGTAGCACCCCGTCAGGAGGAACTGGTGCCCTGTGCTAGCCTCGATCATTACAGCCGCCTGGGCTGGCTACTGGACCTGCCCTGGAGTGGCCGCGCAGGGCTTACCCGGTCCCCAGCGCCTGGGCTCTGTCCTATCTACAAGTGAGTAAGGGTGAGAGCCTGGGCTGTCTGCTGGGCAGGAAAGGAGTGACAGGCCGGACATCCTGAGAGTGGGGAGGCCCTGGCAGAAGCAGGCATTTGGGAAGTAGGTCGGGAGTGGGCTTAGAGAAGCGTGGAGAGTGTGAGATTAGGGTGGGGGGTGGACAGGACAGGGAGAGGCCCAAAGCCTGTTCCCTCTGCCCCCAACCCCCACAGTCTCCTTCCCAACATTATTCTCACTTTGCATGTGGGGAAATTAAGGCCAGGGGAAATAATGCCCTATGCAGGGTGGGACTGGACTGAATGCTAATATCTTCTCCCATTTCCACCTGCTCGGTGCGTGCAGACCCCCAGAAACCCGGCCTGCCACATGGAACCGGACAGTGAGGGCTTGCTGCCCAGGCTGGGGGGGTGCCCACTGCACTGAGGGTAAGCGCCTGAGTGCCTTTGGGGGAAGTGGTACCTTCTGGGAGTCCTGGGCAGGGGACGTTCACTCAGATGTGTGGTTTCAGGCAGGGAACCAGGGCTGGGCTGAGAGCTCCAGGCTGCCCCACGCACACTGCCTGGGTCTATCCCCTTCTCCCCACCTACTGCAGCCCTCACCGAAGCCAGTCGTGAAGGCCACTGCTTTGCCATGTGGCAGTGCCAGCTACAGGCAGGCTCAGCCAATGCCTCAGCAGGAAGCCTGGAGGAGTGCTGTGCCCGGCCCTGGGGACGAAGCTGGCAGGATGGCAGCTCCCAGGCCTGCCTCAGCTGCCCCAACCGACACCTGCCAGGTGGGTCCGCAGACTCCAGCCTGCCAGACAGGCACAGTTCTGGCCGTCACCTCTCCTGCCTCCCCAGGCACTCTCACGTGGAGTTCTTCTGCTCTGGGCCCTCCCTCCCGCTGTGCCGGCCACCCTGTGCCCTTGCCTTCCACCTCTGCCTCACACTCAGAGGCTCATAGTTGGTGTGTCTCTCCCAGGCAGTGCCTCTTCTCCAGCCCCCCTGCAGCCCCTGGCAGGGGCCGTGGGCCAGCTGTGGAGCCAGCACCAGCATCCCTCGGCCACCTGCGCCTCCTGGTCTGGCTTCCACTACCGCACCTTTGATGGACGCCACTACCACTTCCTGGGCCGCTGCACCTACCTGCTGGCGGGTGCTGCAGACTCCACTTGGGCTGTCCACCTCAGACCCTGGGACCGCTGCCCCCAGCCGGGACACTGTCAGCTGGTGAGGGAGGGAGATGGGGCAGCCACAGAGAGGAGGCTGGACAGGGGAGGAAGAGAGCCCAGACCCGCTTTTCCACTATTCATCTCCCCAAGGTCCAGGTGACGATGGGACGCGAGGAGGTGCTGATCCAGGCTGGAAATGTGTCTGTGAAGGGACAGCTGGTACCTGAAGGGCAGTCTTGGCTGCTCCACGGTGAGGGTGCTGGGGGAGCAAGAGGTTGCTGGGCCCCCACGTGCTCCTCTGGGACAGTCTCTTCACCCTCCAGGCAGTCAGAAAAGGAGCAGGGGGCAGTTTGGGACCGAGTCCACTGTGGGCCCCCAGCCATTGCTGATGGGAGGCATTGAAGCACAGATCTACTGAGGGGCCAGGAGGAACCAGGCCTAGCCTCGACCCTCTGCAACTACCCCCACCAAACTCTCGCAGCACGAGCTCAGACAGGTCCCTCTACCTAACTGCCCAAGCCTCAGTTTCCCTACCAGCCTCAAAGGAGTGCTGTGAGGTAGCACTTCGGTGCTAAGAGATGGGAAGCTCTCCTAACAGAACCTTTGTCCTGGCTGGGCTGCAGGGTGAGGTGGGGGCGAGCTTCCTGCGTGTAGGCCTGTGTGTGCCTGTGTGCATGTATGTGTGCGTGCGTGTGTGTGCACGTACACGTGTTTCGTGGTTCACTTGTAGTTTACTCTCTCTAGAGAGCATCCGCAGCTTTCATGAGCTTCTCAAAGAGAGCTGCGATGGAAATCAATCACTCTGCTTTAAAGTATATACTTTTGGTATAAAGTGCAGAGCTCTCTAGAATTTGAGAATTGTGTGAGTTATTTCCCTCTCCTTTCCTTCCCTGCCCAGCTGAGCCCTGCCGTGGTGGGGGGATGGGTGAGAATTGTGGCTGCAGGGGGCAAGTGACTGCTTCCTGTGCCCAGGGCTGAGCCTGCAGTGGCTGGGGGACTGGCTGGTGCTGTCAGGGGGCCTGGGGGTCGTGGTGCGGCTGGATAGGGCTGGCTCCATCTCCATCTCTGTGGACCACGAGCTCTGGGGACAGACGCAAGGCCTCTGTGGGCTCTACAATGGCCAGCCAGAGGGTAAGTGGGGTGTGGCTGGTTACTGGTATGGCAGGGAAGGGAAGACCGGAGGCCCCAGACCCAGCACTCTGCCTCAACCCTTCTCAGATGACTTCATGGAGCCAGGCGGAGGGCTGGCCATGTTAGCAGCCACCTTTGGAAATTCCTGGAGGCTCCCTGACTCAGAGGTGAGGCTGCCTTGGGGGCCCCTCCCTCCCAGCTGCCTGCCCATTCCCAGCTTTTCAGCCTGGCTCCTGACTCCTGCACCTCCAAGCTCTTGTCCCAGTTTCATTGCTGGCTTGTAACCTAGGACAGGGCCTGGCCCTCTCCCAGGTCCTCAGGGGCAGAGGGCAGGCCTTGGGGTCCCACAGGAAGCCTGGCTGCCTGCTGTGAACTAGCCATCAGAGGCCAGCACTGGTGAACCAGTTGGTCATTTATCCCGACCACTGCAGCCCAGCCTGGGGCTACCACCTTGCCTGTCTTCCCAGCCACAGGCTGCGCACCAGCACACAGAGATCTGCATGTGTGCACACACACAGACACACACACACACACAGAAGCTACACACCAACACACAGAGATCTGCATGTGCACACATGCACAGAGGCTACACACCAACACACAGAGATCTGCATGTGCACACACACACAGAGGCCACACACCAACACACAGAGATCTGCATGTGCACACACGCACAGAGGCTACACACCAACACACAGAGATCTGCATGTGCACACACACACAGGCTGCACACCAACACAAAGAGAGCTGCATGTGCACACACACACACAGAGTCTACACACCAACACACAGAGATCTGCATGTGTACACACACACACAGGCTGCACACCAATACACAGAGATCTGCATGTGCACACACACACAGAGGCTACACACCAAAACACAGAGATCTACATGTGCACACACACACACAGGCTGAACACCAA